CCTTCATATGACTTTATTTATCATTCTATCTTTACCTATGGTGTCCTTTTTTGGGGGGGGCGAGGAGAGGGGATGGAGTCTGGTTCTGTAGCCCAAGCTGGAGTGCAGTGGCGCTATCTCAGCTCACTGCAACCTCCACCTCCCGGGTTCAAGCAATTCTCCTGCCTCAGCCTCCCGATTAACTGGGATTAGAGACAAGCGCCATCACACCCAGCTAATTTTGTATTGTTAGTAGAGACGGGGGTTTCTCCATGTTGGACAGGCTGTGCTTGAACTCCCAACCTCAGGTGATCCGCCCGCCTCGGCCTCCCAAAGTGGTAGGATTACAGGCATGAGCCACCATGGTGGGCTGAGACTCGGTCTTAAAAAGAATAAAATGAGCTGCATCACAATGGGCAAGTCGCGTAAGCCTATCATAAGCCTGTCCAGTGGGGATAATGCCGCCACCTTGTGGGTGTTGTAAGGGCTGCATTTGACAAAGTACTTGGCGGTGCCTGTGTTCACTCATGGAGGAAACAGTCTTGAACCTTTTGGTGGGGAAGGCCTCCTTTCCATTTAACATTTCCATTTACTGGTAGTCTCACCGGGGACGGAGAGTGTCCTGAGAGCACAGTCCTGATAGCTCGATGCCAGCTGTGCTCCCCTCCAGGCTCAGCTCAGGCCTAATGACCACCGGTGGTGGTTGCTGCCATGCTGGACGTTGGCCCCAGAAGGCTTTGAGCTCCACCAGTAGGTCCCACATAGGCACCTGTAGTTGGTCAGGACCCTGGCTCCCACTCGGCGCTATCTCTTCAGAAAGGCCCAAGTGTTTTGAAGGGTAACTGTCCCAGATACCCCCAGCTCTCTGCCGACCCAGTTACCAGACAGCTGGGTACCCAGCATGTAAACCTTATTTTGCAATTAAAAGATAAACTTTTGGTGTTTTTTTTTTGGGGGGGGGAAGGAGTCTCACTCTGTCGCCCAGGCTGGAGTGCAGTCACAATCTCAGCTCACTGCAACCTCTGCCTCCTGGGTTCAAGCAATTCTCCTGCCTCAACCTCCTGAGTAGCTGGGACTACAGGCACCCACCACCATGCCCGGATAATTTTTGTATTTTTAGTAGAAACCAGGTTTCACCATATTGTCCAGGCTTGTCTTGAACTCCTGACCTTGTGATCCAACTGCCTTGGCCTCCCAAAGTGCTGGGATTATGGGCATGAGCCAATGCGCCTGGCCTGTTTTTTGTATTTTTAGTAGAGATGGGGTTTCCTCATGTTGGACAGGCTGGTCTCGACCTCCTGACCTCAGGTGATCCACCTGCCTCAGCCTCCCAAAGCGCTGGGATTACAGGCATGAGCCACCACACCCAGCCACTGTTTTGGGTATTTCCCCTAACAGAGTAGAAAATGAGGAATTAACACACCAGGGAACCCGGGTGTTTGAGCAGAGCAGTGGTATTTAAATATTTCAACCCATAAATTGTCACTTCACAGCAAGCATCCTGAAACTATAAGAGGACATTTGGCTGAACATGGTAGCTCGTGCTTATAATCCCAGCACTTTGGGGAGGCTGAGGAGGGCAGATTGCTTGAGCCCAGTAGTTTGAGACCAGCCTGGGAAACATAATGAGATCTTGTCTTTACTTAAAAAAAAAAAAAAATTAGCCGGGCATGGTGGTGCTTGAGAGGCTGAGGCAAGAGGATCGACTGAGCCCAGGAGGTTGAGGCCACAGGGAGCTATGATTGTGTCTCCGCATTCCAGCCTGGGGGACAGTGAGATCATCTCAAAAGAAAAAAAACAAGACATTTCTATGTAGTGCCTACCTTGGCTCCAGTGTGGTTCTAACTTGACCCATCAGAAGTCATCTGAATCACTTTGTGTCTTTTTT